TTTTTTTTTTTTTTTAATAACTGATCTGTTAGCATGGTTTTAATGTCAAAAGGTCAGTAGAGAAAGGTTGAAAGCCTCCTGCCCCTGATCTCTCAGCGGTCTTGCTCCCCTCCCGAGAGGCACCCACTGTTAGTAGTTTCTTGTGTCTCTTTCTAAAGACATGGCGTGTGTGTGGTTCCGTGATTCTTAGGAGGGCCCAGGAGAGACGGAGCGAGTCAGGGCCGCCCAGGGAAGAGTTCTGTAAAAGCACAAGGAAGGGGCGAGGGGACCAGGCAGGTAAGGGTGTTCTGAAGACCGTTGGCAGAGGACTTGGGTAGGAAGCCTCCTTCCAGCCCCCAGCTGGGCAGGTGAGACCCTCACCTGTGGGGACGGACGGAGCAGTCAGTCCAAAGAGCTCCCTAGGGATGGTCCAAGTCCTCGGGTGGCCACAGGGCGCCCTCCTCGCCCGGGGAGGGTGCCAGCAGGGGTGGGGGCTGTGCGGCTGGGCGGGGGTTTGTGAAATACCAGCCTGGCCAACTTCTCAGCTGTGTGACTTCGGTACCCGTCTTCACCCTCTCTGGGCCTCCTTGCTCATCTAGGAAACTCCAAATCTAGGGTTTTAAACTTTTTCGTTACCCTCTTAAGTCTGAAGCAGCCATGGACCTCTTTAAATGCAAACATCTTTTATATGATAAATGTAAATGAATCACAGTGAAATATGGTGGGTTTTCCCACTCGGGGGACTCAGGGGAGTCCCGTTGCAAATGATTCCTGCTCTGGGGAGGCCAGAGCCAGGGCGTGGCTCCCACAGGTGGTCTGGGCCCTGGCACTGCTCGGGGTCGGGCGGCGTGGACCGGGGCAGGATTCGGGGAAGAATCCCCTCCGGAGATTGCTTTGCTGAGCCAGGACAGTCCACCTCCCTGACAGGGTCCCCTCTGTCTCTATGGGGTCTCCTCTCCTAACTGAAGGTGAGTAGGTCTGTGCAGAATTCAGTTTCCAAAAGGTGGCAGCAGTGTCCCAGGAAAGGGAATCCCAGCCACCTGGTGAGAAGTGCTGGCAGGGTCCCGGCCGCCTGCCTTCCCAGCCCAGGAGAGCGGTTCTCAGGGGGCCTCTCCCCAGTGCTCCCTGCAGTCCCGGGGGTCCTTCCTGAGGCCTGGAGGGTCTGCCTGCCTGAAGCAGGGAGGGGGGCGGGGGACCCTCCACAGCGTGTGGTTAAGGACGGTGCTGAGCTTTCAAGGTAACTAACCGTGGAATGTTTTATTTTTTAATCCTCACTTGAGGATATTTTTTCCATTGCTTTTCCGAGAGAGTGGTGGAAAGGGGAGAGAGAGACATCGACGTGAGAGACACATCAACTGGTGGCCTCCTGCCCGCACCCTGACCAGGGCCGGAGACGGAGCCTGCGACTGAGGGCACACGCCCTCGGCCGGAATCGAACCCAGGACCCTTCAGTCTGCCAGCAGCCTCTCTAACCCCTGGGCCAAACTGGCTGGGCCGTTTAAACAGCCCAGAATGAGCCCGCGAGTGTCCTGGTGCCGGGGCCCACTCTGACTGGGGCTCTTCCTGCCCACTTCACGCGCTCAGAACGCGGAGTGAAGTCTCCGGAGAGGCGATTTCATCGTTTGCCCCTGAGCGTGACATCCTGGCCTGCAGATGGACGTTCAGCTTGTTCTTGAAATTCCCCGAGTCGCTGCGTGGGAGCCCGGGGCCTGCTGGCTGGCCTTGGGCAGGCCGTGCCTAACCGGCCTCAGTTTCCCCACCTGTAAAATGGTGTAAACCTCTTTGTAAGAGACTATACGCCCTCCTGGGACACAGGCTAAGAGGCTCCTTTTTCATCCGAGTGCGGTTTCATCGCTGTTGCACTGCCGGGAGGAGCTGGCCGCGTCCCCCCCGGCCATTGTCTGTCCTGGGCCCCCACTGCCACGTCTGTGGTCCCTCAGCCTCTGATTAAATGACCGAGTGGAGAGTCCCCAGGTGTAAGGCGGGCCGGCTGTGGACCTGCAGGGGCTGGATTTCTTTTCCTCCTTGGCAGCCCGCTCTGCTTCTGAGAGGCCCCCTCCCTCCGGCGTCCAGCCTGTCCCCGGAGGCCTGGCAGCGCCCGGGTGGCCCCGGGGAGCCCAGTTTGTGCCTCGCTGGGTGAACCACCCCTCCTCTCATCGCCAGGAAATGAAGGACGCTGGCTGTCACCTGTTCACTCCGGCTGCCAGCTGTGAGAGGAGGAAATTCACGCTGTGCCCGCGTCCCCCGAGGCCACTCACAGCCATTTTTTCTTTTGCANGGGGCCTCTCCCCAGTGCTCCCTGCAGTCCCGGGGGTCCTTCCTGAGGCCTGGAGGGTCTGCCTGCCTGAAGCAGGGAGGGGGGCGGGGGACCCTCCACAGCGTGTGGTTAAGGACGGTGCTGAGCTTTCAAGGTAACTAACCGTGGAATGTTTTATTTTTTAATCCTCACTTGAGGATATTTTTTCCATTGCTTTTCCGAGAGAGTGGTGGAAAGGGGAGAGAGAGACATCGACGTGAGAGACACATCAACTGGTGGCCTCCTGCCCGCACCCTGACCAGGGCCGGAGACGGAGCCTGCGACTGAGGGCACACGCCCTCGGCCGGAATCGAACCCAGGACCCTTCAGTCTGCCAGCAGCCTCTCTAACCCCTGGGCCAAACTGGCTGGGCCGTTTAAACAGCCCAGAATGAGCCCGCGAGTGTCCTGGTGCCGGGGCCCACTCTGACTGGGGCTCTTCCTGCCCACTTCACGCGCTCAGAACGCGGAGTGAAGTCTCCGGAGAGGCGATTTCATCGTTTGCCCCTGAGCGTGACATCCTGGCCTGCAGATGGACGTTCAGCTTGTTCTTGAAATTCCCCGAGTCGCTGCGTGGGAGCCCGGGGCCTGCTGGCTGGCCTTGGGCAGGCCGTGCCTAACCGGCCTCAGTTTCCCCACCTGTAAAATGGTGTAAACCTCTTTGTAAGAGACTATACGCCCTCCTGGGACACAGGCTAAGAGGCTCCTTTTTCATCCGAGTGCGGTTTCATCGCTGCTGCACTGCCGGGAGGAGCTGGCTGCGTCCCCCCCGGCCATTGTCTGTCCTGGGCCCCCACTGCCACGTCTGTGGTCCCTCAGCCTCTGATTAAATGACCGAGTGGAGAGTCCCCAGGTGTAAGGCGGGCCGGCTGTGGACCTGCAGGGGCTGGATTTCTTTTCCTCCTTGGCAGCCCGCTCTGCTTCTGAGAGGCCCCCTCCCTCCGGCGTCCAGCCTGTCCCCGGAGGCCTGGCAGCGCCCGGGTGGCCCCGGGGAGCCCAGTTTGTGCCTCGCTGGGTGAACCACCCCTCCTCTCATCGCCAGGAAATGAAGGACGCTGGCTGTCACCTGTTCACTCCGGCTGCCAGCTGTGAGAGGAGGAAATTCACGCTGTGCCCGCGTCCCCCGAGGCCACTCACAGCCATTTTTTCTTTTGCAGGAAGATCAACCTGAAAAGCCCTGTGCTGCAGCAGGTGCTGGAGCAGCGGAACGAGGCCCTGTGCGTCCTGACGCAGAAGATAGTGACGACGCAGAAGTGTGTGATATCCGAGCACGTCCAGATCGAGGAGAAGCTGGGCGGCATGGTGGGGATCCAGACCAAGACGGTGCAGGTGTGCGGGCCCGGCCTCGGCAGCCTCTCTGGTTCCAGCCGTGAGGACCTTCCCGGGGTCCTCCCTGGGTGGTGTCCTCATTCATCAGGACCCTGTGTAGCAACCTAACAGAAATCCCACTACACTTGGCTTAAGCGAGAAAGAATTTATTGACGCCTGTAATGGAAACGATCAGGGGTGAGCTGGCTTCAGTCCCTGCTGGATCCAGGGCACGGAGGACGTTGTGAGCTGCTTCCCTGGGAGTGGGTTCCCTCGGGCAGCGTCTCTCCTGGTGCAGTAGCTCCAGGCTTTCACCCCGCCTGCTGCGACCCCAGGGAGAGCGCTTCCGGGCTGGATCTCACCCCACCGCCCTCGGTCGCCCACTCCTGAAGTGGACCCAAGGCCAGGGCAGTGGGACTCGCAGATGGGCCATGCCAGGCACATTCCCCAAAGAAAATGGGTCAGACGGGCACAGGCCAGGCCAAATGCACAGATCACCCCCAGAGTCCCTTGGAGTCAGGAGTCTCAAAATCACAGCTCTGGGATTAGCTGCCTCAAATCGTTTGCAGATTGAGTTAGGGAAGGGAAGGATCTGTACATCCGTCTGTCTGTAGGCACAAACAGATGCTGCTGGGTCACATCAGAGACAAAATGGCTGTGAGTGGCCTCGGGGGACGCGGGCACAGCGTGAATTTCCTCCTCTCACAGCTGGCAGAGATGCTGCTGGGTCACATCAGACAAGCTGACCCGGAGCCGGCGCTGAAGTTCAGGGGAACAGAAGGCCGTCTACCCCAGGCTGTTTCCCCTCCAGCTTGTCATGGTGCCTGATATTCGATTCTTGGAGACTGACTTGTTGGGGTAACTTTTGGCCCTTGCTGAGGACCCAGGAAAGTTGTGTTTGGAAGGCGGTGGAGCTACAGATCTGGAGCCGGGCTCTCTGGGGCGCACAGGCTGGGTGGCTAGACGGCAGCGGCGAGGGATGTGCCCGGTGGCAGGTGGCTCCTGCTGGCCCTGCCAATGTTTCTGCCCACGGTGACCCCACCAGAGGCCCAAAGCCCGCCTGGGAGTCAGGAGGCCGGCTGCCATCCCGCCCTGACCAGGGTCAGGTTGCTCAGAAGCGTCTCCGATCTCCAGGGTCCGAGCGTCAGATGGACTCTGGTCTCCCTCCGCCGGGCCGCGGCGGGAAGGCGGCCTGTTTGTAACGGTGTCTGAGGGAGAGCGCGCTGTGCCTGGCTCTGGGCGCTTCCTGCCCGGCTGTCTTGTCCCGGCCTCTGCCGCGGCCTCCCCGGTCTCTCAGCACAGGGTGCCCCCCGCAGGGCCTGGAGTGGCGCCCTGGGAGCTCTCAGCTCAGCTCCCCTCAGGCTTTGGTGCTGGTCAAGGTTTTCGTTGGGATTTCACAGCCGTTCCCGTAATCCTCCGTGGGAAAGGGCGCGTCATGGTCTCATTACCGCCTGTACTCATCCCGTAGATGAACTTCGCTGTGTCCCGAATCCTGGAGTCTCGCTTTCGTGCCCCCGGGTTGGCCACTGGCTGGGGAACATGCACCACGAGGCGAACGGGGGAAATGCTCGCCTCTGTGGCCGGCTCCCCCTTCCCGCTCCCTCGTGGGCATCTGCGGGCGGCCCCGGGGGAGGCAGAGGCGCCCAGGGGAGCCTGAGCGCACAGGTCAGAGCCCGCTCTTCCCACAGGTGTCGGCCACGGAGGACGGGACCGTGGTCTGGGACAGCAGCGTGGTGCTGGAGATCCCGGCTTCCACCACCATCGCCTACGGTGTCATCGAGCTGTACGTGAAACGGGACGGCCAGTTTGGTGAGTGCCGCCTCCTGCCCGGGGAGGAGCCCCCACTGAGGGACACGCCATCTCAGCTGGGCCACACGCCTGGTAGAGGACCCCCTACCGCCTTGGGGATGGTGACACGAGAGAGCCTGAGCGTCTGGGGCTGTCCCGTGACAAGGGCACACGTGGGCTGCACCGGGGGCCTGCGGGGTGGTTTCACCAGCAGGACACGGGGCTGAGAAGTGTCCTCTGCGGCCAGACAGACGGGGGAGCAGCCCCATTGCCAGGCTGTCCGGTGAGGTCTCGGGCCAGCTGTCGGACCTTGCTGGGACCTGCCCGACTCTGGGAGGGGAAAGACCCCCCACGGGGCTGCGAGAGGACTGAAAAGATGAGGCACGTGGAGTGCCTGGCACAGTGGCCATTTATTAAGCACCCCACCTCAGCTATTAGTGTCACCATCATCGTCATTTCACCTCCCTCCCCCAATACGGAGCCAAAAACGCTGCTCTCGACCTTGCTCTGCTGGTCACCAGTGTGCCTGGAGCTGGCCGGTCCCGGTCGTTGCACCGCTTGAAAACCGGGCTTTGGTTTAGCGCGTCCGCTGCTCTCGGGCGCGCACGGCCCTCCCCCACGCTCTGAGATGCTGAGCCCAAGAAAACGGTTTGCTTCTTGGGGACGTGAATGAATACACGGCACATCAATTACTGTTGACCTTTTTAGGTATGGTGATATATTTATAAAAAAGGGTCTATTTTAGAGCTTTATACGGACGTCTTCACGGTGAGACGGTAACGTCTGCAGTTTGCTTCAGAAATAACCTGGGTGGAGGGGAAGGTGGGGGTGGGAAGAGGTGAGGAGCAGCGGTCAGAGCGGGTTGGCGGGGGTGTGGAGGGAGGCTCGTCGTATCCCCGTTCGCGTGCAGTTTCACGTCTTCGCAGGGAAAAGGCTCGAGAAGTGTGCCGTAGTCGGCCCTGCGTGCAACCGTTGCTGTCGCCTGCGCCTCCCCTGGGTGGTTTCTGGCGGGTGGTGAGGACGGGTTCCGGAAAAGTCAGTCTTGTGGGAGCCAGCCTTCTGGGCTCACTGGGACCACACGTGTTAAAGCCCGTGAGGGGACAACTCCAGGCGCTCGGAGCACCGACTGTCCTGTGGGACAGTGGCCAAGCTCCTGGGCGTGTGAGCACCCGCAGGAGGGACAGAGGAGGCACAGAGCAGCCCCAGAGCCTCCCTCTCCGGTTTCGCACACGGAGCAGCCTGCGGTCCAGGCAGGTGGCCGAAAGGGAAGGTGTCAGTTTGAAGAAGTTGGTCTAGGGCGGTAAGACCAGGACACGTGCAATACCAGGACACCAAGAATTGTGGCCTCCGTCGTTTAGACCCTGGTTCCAAATTTGTCATCCTGGGCATGTTTATTATATTCTCTTTGAAAACCGCTGGTCTACTGAACAAACGGCATTAAGATGGTAAGTTTTGTTATCAGTATGTGATCAGCCCTGATAAGCATGTACCCGAATGTGCTTCCAGCAGGGATGTTTACTACTTGGCTATGCTGTCCTGGTGGACTGACGGTCCAGGTGTCACTGTGGCAAGCTCGGCCAGCACCTGAGGGTGCTCGTGAGTGCCGTGAGGACCTTTAGGCGGCTGGGGCCAGGCCAGGGTGCCACCCCAGGCAGCGGGGCTGAGAGCCCTCCGGTTTCTCCGAGGAGGTGGGCGCCCTGCCCCGCGCAGCTCCGAGGGCCACCTGCCAATCCCTCGGGGCTCTTTCCTCAGGCGGCTTGGAAAGCCAGCTGGGCCTGGTGTGGCTCTCCTGTTTGCATTTCAATCTAAGCCTTTGATCTTGGCTTGCTTCCTCTTTGAAAATAAACTCCTCTTTTGTGCTGCTGAGAAGTGCCCTGGGGAATTCTCGAGGTTCCTTTGGCTCCCTTCCCACACCCCGGCCCAGGCAGCCCGCTGTGGCCACGCTGAGCGGCTTGCTGCTCAGGCCCCGGCTCTGTGAGACTCAGCGTCTGCTTGGAAGGCAGTTCTGCTTTTATTTCCCATCTGTTTTCTCTGTGGCTCTTGCCACAGAATGTTCTGATCTAGCTTCATAAACATGGACCCGCAGGGCCGGAAGGGCCCTTCAGAGCCTGATCCCCTCCCACCTTCTGGGTGGGAGTACATTTGACAAGCGTCCTGCTTGTCCTTTGAAACTTTGCAAGGAGCCACCTCCCTCTCCGTTTCTTGGGGGAGGCGTCTGTCCAGCCGCCCTTGGTGAGGGGTTCTCTCAGCCACGTCCCCTCCCTTCTCCAGCAGCTCCCCCACCTCGTTTCCCACCTGACTCTTCTCTGACTCTTTCCTGTCTGCTCCATTCTAGCAGTGTAACTAATGTGATTAAAAATTAAAACTGGTCATTTCACCTGCTCAGACACCGTTCCGAGGCTCCGTGTCCCAAGATAAAGTCTTCCATGTGGGTGGCCCAGCCCCAGCGCGCCCAGCCTTCCTTCTCACCTGCAGCACCTCCCCGCGCAGGCAGGTGCCCACCTTCACCCACCGTCTGGGAACGCTCCTGTCTCACCTCCTAGCCTGACTGCGGCCCCTCCGTCTGGAGCATGCTCACTGCCTGTGCCCGGCTAACTCCTACGGAGCCTTTAGGCTACTGAGGCACTGCTTTGTCCAAGAAACCTTTGCTGGCTCTCTCTCTGCACCCGCCTCTCTGGCTTCAGTGACCCGTCCACACCTCCAACATCCCCGCCTTCCCCACCCCCCTCAAGCACACTGATGGTCAAGGCCCTTCAGTATCTCTGGCCCCCAGCACAGTGCCCGACTCTGAAGAGTGAACAGACTGGCAGTGCCTTCAGGGGGCTGTGTGTGTGCCCGGGCAAGAGTGGTGCTGGTGCCACGGGCCCTACAGGGCGCTCGGCAGGATTTGAGACTGTGAGTGAGTGGTCACGGTCCCTGTCCTCAGGGAGCGAAGTCATCACCTGGGGGCCAGTGTACGCTCATCCACCTGAGTGCCTGGTGCGAAGGGCGGAACGAGGGGGGCGCCCTGGGTGCTCCATGAGCGTGGCTCCGTGGATGAGTAAATGAGGGAGTTTCATTTGTCTTAGACAGCCATTCTTCTGTGAATGTCGTCAGTGCCCACAAGCAAGTGGAAGTGTGTGCAAACACCATGCCTTGCACAGGCTCAGACACATTTTATCCCACAGCCTGCACGTGAGCAGAGATTATTAAGTAGAAGCACAGAAGGAGCCCTTGTTTGTGAGCCCACTTGCTGTTTTTGCTTAGCAAGGACATAAGAATGGCCACATTTTTACCTGCAATTCAGATACCTTAGTTGGGTTCTCAAATATGGAAGTGTATAAGGAAACATCTATTATTTAAGTTTACTATGGAAAATTTCACGTTCAAAAGTAGGAATAATATAATAAACCCCCATGCACTTCCTGCTTCAAGAATGAGTGCAATTCATGTTTCATTGGCAGTGTTACCACGTTCCTCCACCTCCAGTGGTTTCCACGCAGACCCTAGGCATTCTATTGCTCCGTCTATAAATATTTCAGTATTTCTAAAAAATTAGGCTTTGAAAAGACTAGTTTTGCCTTCACATACATTCCTGTAGAATATACTTTATGTGTTGATTTTTTTCACTCAACATGTTTTGAGATTCATTCATATAACTGTAGAAATAAGTTCATTTTTTTGCTATGTATTCTATTAATACAGAAAAGTTGACTTTTGAGAACCATATAACCACTTGCGCACTGAAATATGTTGTCAATAACTCTGATATTATCAGTTGTCAAATCTATCAAAATTCAAGTTTTCTCAAATTCATTCATATACGGTGAGTTCTGCTTGTTTAGTTGGTTTGTTCAAACCAGGCGAAGGAAAGACTTCCGATGTTGAACGATTGCTCCAGCCTGTTCAGAGGACACACGGAGAGCCCTGTGTTAAGAACCGTTTCTCCTGTATTTCTAGGAAGCGGATGAGTTTTGATCGCACAGTGGAGCATGTGCAGGAAGCGGGTTTACGGGGAGGAGGGTGGAGGTTTCCCCGCCCAGCCCGGGTTAGGAAGAGCCGGGTTGGTCTGTGCTGACCGCTCCTCCTGTCCTGTATTGCAGAATTCTGCCTCCTACAAGGGAAGCACGGCGGCTTCGAGCACGAGAGAAGCGACTCTATCTTCCTGGACCCCTGGCTCTTCCGAGAGTTTGCGTTTGGGGACATGCCAGATGCTGGGCAAGGGCCGTCTGCCCCGGATGGACCGCTGAGTGTTTTAAATCAAGGTACTGCCATCAGGGCGGGCGTGTGGTGAGCCAGTGGCTGATTGTGCATCGTACCCCGAGAGGTGATGTGGCCCCAAGAGGTGATGTGACACGAGTGACTTCACAGAAAGCTTTTGAGAACAGAGAGGGTGGTGCCTCTGAGTCAGGCCTGGTGCATCAGTACTCACCTTGCTAGGACCTCAGGTCTTGGGTGCCATGTTTTGAGAAAGGGGCTGGAGACTGAGGAGTGTGCGAGTCGGGGGCCTGGCATTTTCTTTCATTCTAACTGCAGAGGCCTCGCGGGCCACTAAGAACAGCTAGTCAGCAGCAGAGAGCGAGCCCGTTCCGCACCTGTTTCATCACGCTCCGGGCTGCGTTGCCAAGACAAGCAGGGCTTTGCCAGCACTGCAGAACGGCTCGCAGAGGCTCTCTATCCACGTGGCCCAAAGCCCTATGGTGCCCTGGCTTCAGGGAGGGGGGTGGAGGAGGGGACGACCTGTGACTTGCCCGCAGCAGTCCCTTCTGCTCCCCACAGCAGTTAGTGTTTTAAAAAGCTGGAGGGTTTTTTGGGGCGCAGGAGTACAGTGTATAATAGGAGATGGGCAAGAAAAGGGAGAAACACAGCTACATAAGAGCTTAGCACAGAGAGCTAGGAGCAGCTCAGAGAACGCTCAGTGTGGAGGGTCAGCATCAAGGCTCACCAGCCGGGCTTCATTGAGCCCCAAACTGCAAGATGCTTTGGGAGAGATGGCAGTGCAGGCCCAATCTTAAAATAAGGCTTTCCCGTCTTAGGCCCCTCCGCCTCCTCTTCGAGATTATTGGGTGAGGTTTGTCACTGAAGAACTGGTGACGTCCTGGGTTAGAAGCACAGCAGCAGGGGCCCTGCAGCCATGAACTGTGCTGACGAGACAGGCTGGGCTGCAGCTTCCCTGTAACTTCCTTTCCCACCCGTCTGCCCCATAGGTTGGCCATTCTAGTGAGCTGGGGGTTGAGAGCAGGGAGGCAGGAATAGGGTGGGGGCTGGCTTGGCCTCTGTGCCCTGGACCAACCAGGGCAGCTCTTCCATCCAGGCTGGGGCGGCAGAGGCCACGTTGTTTCGAGGGCAGTGTGTGAACGTCATTACTGCTGTGCCGGGCTCCTCGCCATGGGGCTCTCTACAGCCCTGTGCTGGGATCTGCCCTCAGCAGAGGTGGTGCGTTTACTAATCAGGAGGCACCCTCCATACAGAAGCTTTCACATCCCCACTGGGCTTGATTCACTAGCAGCTTTGGACCGTCTTTAAAAAAGCCGATTCTCAGGGAGAGGCTCCAGCCTCGGGAGGGTGTGGGCTGCAGCCGGGGCCCGCACACCCTTCTCCAGGACCAGGCGGTGGAGAGAAAAATGGGCAAAGGCAGTGCCTGTGTTTGCTGTGAGAGCAGGGTGCCGGCCCCTCTGACATACGTGCGTTAAACATTCAAGGGTGCAAAACCCACAGCGTGTTAGGAGGATGAAAAATAACCTATTTTGGAATTTGTGTGGCTCTGAAGCATTTTGAAAGTACTGACTGATGTTGAGTAATTCAGCCTCGATCACTTACTTCTGTAAGAGGGGTCTGAGTGACTTTTCCAGAAAATGACTACACCTCATGTTTAGTGAGTTTGAAGCAAAACACAGTGGCCCTCTTTCTGTCCCCCGCCCTTCTTGTAGTAGTTTGGTCACTGAAACCACGCAGAGTGGTATTTAGCTCAGTGTCCTTTATTTCCGAGTCCTGTGACTGTGCAGCTGGAAGTGTCCATGAAAGAGCCGGGGACAGATGGCTGTAAAAAGCGCGCATTGTGTCCCTGTCTTGAGGCACACACGGCGGTCACGTGTCCCTGTGCTCTGCTGCGTCCACAGCGACTCTGCCCCTGGAGAGGAACTTCCAGCCCTTCGTGCAGCTGCCGGAGCAGCAGCGGACGGCGCTGAGCGGTGCCCTCCAGGCGGTGCTGTCCGATGAGGAGCTGCTCGCGGTCCTGGAACAAGTGGTAAGGCCCGAGACTTCCCGAGGCGCAGGGTCTCCCCTCTCTGTTCTGGAGATGTGGACGGGCTGGACCTCTTGGGACAAGGCTTTGAGCAGGGGACAAAATTGCGTTTAAAATTTCCCCACCTCCCTTGAACCCTGAAGCTTCTTTTTCTCTTACTCCTGGGTCCTTAGTTTTCTAACTGCAGAAAGGCAGCTGATGCCAGGAATCTAAGGGTGTATCAGTTCCCTAGGGCTGCTGTAACAAATGACCACAAACTTCGTGGCTTAAAACAACACAAATTGATTCTCTGGAGGCCAGAAGTCTGAAGTTAAGGTGTCACCAGGGCCATGCTTCCCCCAAAGGCTGGAGGGGAGAACCCTCCCTTGGCTCTTGCAGCTCCTGGTGTCCCCTGGCTTGTGGCCGCATCACTCCAGTGTCTGCTGTCTTCCCAGGGCCTTCTCCTCTGCATCATTTCCATTTCTGTTCCCTAATGGGCACCCACCAGTGGATTTAGGGTCCACCCCAACCTACGAGGATCTCATCCCAAGATCTTTACCGTAACTACATTTGCAAACACTGTTATTCCAAATAAGGTCACATTCTGAAGTTCCAGGTAGACATCTATTTGGGGAGGGGAGGCCCTGTTCAGCCCACTACAGGGGGGCTATGTGGTAGAGTCCTGTTTTATTTAGAACAGACTGAAAAGCAGGCCTTTGTATTTTTCTGTTCTGTAGCAAAAGGATTTTCTGGGGAGGCTGAGATACACCAGCTGCCAACCTCCATCCACCCAGACTTTCTGCTCTGCTTCCCTGGAGGAGGCTGGGGAGCTATAAACCTGATTTTTGCTGTAGTTGTGTTGTTTTTGGTCTTTCTGCTTTTCTTTTATGCAGAGTTTGAACTCTGATTTTCTGATTTAATGCTTTATGGCTTCCAGGAGAGCATTCCTATTCCTTTTTCCTCTCGAAATTGGATTGTGTCAAAAGAGCTTAGTGACCAGTGATGGAACCAGCAGTTGTTGAAATAGTCCAGCAGCCAGGACATCTGTGTGCTCTGGAAGACACAGAGCTTGCAGGAGAGCATGCTAGCCCCAGGGAGAACACAGATGTTTAAAAAATCCACTGACTTTTACTTCCTAAAATGTCTCCTTCAAGAGGGAAATGTCAGGCCAGCACCCCATGGAAAGAGCATCAGCTGCCTGGGCGGTGGGGGGCCCACGGGCTCTCATACAAGTGCATGTGGATGTGGAGGCTGCAATGGAGCAGAACTGGCTCGGGGGGTGCTGAGGTGGCCAGGGCAGCCCTGGCCAGCAGGACCACCCACCTCCCAGCAGGCCCCATGCCGGTGGGCAAGGCTGCCCTGGGTCCTGTTGAGAACATGGCTGGGGGCTGTGGTGCCAAGTTTAAAGCTCGAGAACCAATATGGGATGATGCCTTTCTGTTCCCCTCCTCAGCTCTGCGTGTAGTCACTTGTTCCTGTTCCCTGGTCCAAACTGATAGACCCTGCCCTATTGGGAAGATTCTACCCAATGGTTCCTGCATGCTTCCTCCCCTCTTGGTGAAAGAATAGTACCTGGGCAGGGCTCCGTTGAGTCCCCTTGTGAGGAAATCTAACCTGGCGGATCAGTCATTCCAAAGCAGAGAGAAGAGTGCAGGGCTTGCTTTACGTGGGAGATGGCGAAGGGCAGGGGGTGCATGCTGAGGGTCAGAGGACCCAGCTTGGCTTCTCTCCATCACATTGTCCCTTTTCTCCTCTCCCTGCAGTGTGACGATGTGATCAGTGGCCTGTCGCCCTCCCTGGAGATCCTGGGGGAGCTGAAGCCCCCCCAGAGGCAGGACCTCACGGCCTTCCTGCAGCTGGTGGGGTGCAGTGTGCAGGGCGAGTGTCCAGGCCCGGAAGTCAGCAACCAGAAGCTCTTTTCTGCAGCCTACTTCTTGGTCAGTGCACTAGCAGGTACGGAAGAGACAGACTGTTGTTGCTTTGCAGTGGCTTTGCTTAGTCTTCTGGAGACGGGTATAGATGGTTGTCTCCTTTTCAGCACTATGGGGAGCGTAAGAAGTCGAGGGTGGTGGAAATGGACAGGGTTGCTGCGAGGTCCACAGCCCCTCCCCCACTCTCAGAGAGCACTTCTCCTTCCCCCCCTGGGAGGGCGCTCTGCGGGCTCACCCCCCACGACACAGGAAAGCATCTCCCCGAACACCACCTGGCATTCACTCGAGCCCCAGCCGTGCTGAGGGCAGTGCTTTCCTTTGGCAGCTGTTCTCCCCTCCAGCGTTTTGGTCCTTCCGATCCCCTTGTTCCTCTTTGCAAACTTTCCTCCCCTAGAGTTGCGGCAATTAGGGCAGGGAGGCTGTGGACAGCATCCCAAAGCACGAGGGTGCTGGGCTCAGCAGCTCCACACCTTCTAGAGCCGTCCCAAGGCCCTCCCAGGGCTGTGGCCATCCAGACGTTACTGAGCAGTGGGCCCTGCCTGACTTCCCCACCTGTCCCACCCCTAGCTCACCAAGCCAGAGGGTCTGTGCTGTCAGAGGGTGGGCCTCCGAGGGAGGAAACTGGACTTGTAGATCCTTCTCAGAAAGGCAAGACCTGGTAATGCAGCCCCCTCGCCTGGTCCCCACACTTCCCCTCGAGGGGATACCAGTCAGGGCATTGAGTTCTGGTGCATTCAGGGTTCCTCCCTGCACCACAGAGGATCAGAGACCCAGGGACCTCCAGCTTTTAAAGAATTAAAAAGGAGCACGCCTCTCCCAGGTCTATATGCCGAGGAGTCATACATTACGTGCCCATGATGTTTTTTTAAAAATTTTATTGAATTTATTGGGGTGACACTGATTAATAAAATTGTTTCAGGTGTACAGTTCTACAACACATCATCTGTATATTGTATTGCGTTCACCACCCCAAGTCGTCTCCTTCCGACACCACTTCCTCTCCCCTTCACCCCCTTGTGTCTCCCCCGCCCCCCTTCTCTCTGGTAACCACCATACTGTTGTCTATGTCCCTGAGGGGTTTTTGCTTAATCCCTTCACCTTTTTCACCCAGCTCCACCCTCCCGACAGCTGCCAGTCTGCGCCATGCATCCCATGCCTCTGGTTCTATATTGGTCATCAGTTTGCTTTGTTCATTAGATTCCACACACGAGTGCAATCATATGGTCCTTGTCTTTCTCTGACTGGTTTATTTCACTTAGCATAACGCTCTGCAGGTCCATCCATGATGCTGAGAAAGGTAAGATTCCTTTCTTTTCTTACGGCCGAGTAGTAGTCCATTGTGTAAATTACCGCAGCTTTTTTATCCACTTATCTACTGATGGGCACAGGGGCTGCTTCCAGATGTAAATAGTGCTGCAATGAACACAGGGGTGCATATATTCTTTTGAATTAGTGTTTTGGGTTTCTTCAGGTAAATACCCACAAGTGGAATTGCTGGGTCATAAGGCAGTTCCGTTTGTAATTTTTTGAGGACCCTCTATCCTGCTTTTACAGCAGCTGCACCAGTCCGCATTCCTACCAGCTGTGCACAAGGGTTCTCTTTTCTCCACACCCTCCTAACACTTGTTGATTTATTGATGACAGCCATTTTGTCAGGTGCGAGGCGATATAATTTTATAATTTGCACTTCTCCGATGATTAGTGACACTGAGCATCTTTTCATGTCTGTTAGCCATCTGTGCATCCTCTTGGAAGAAATGTCTATCCAGTTCCTTCCCTGACTGATTTTATAGCTGGGAGTTTGTACTTTTTAACCACCTTCATTCATTTTGCACCCCGCAACATCCCCCCTCACCTCTGGCAATTGCCAATCTGTTCTCTTTATCTATGAGCTCATTTTAAAAGAAAACTTCCACATGTAAGTGAAATCATATGGTATTTGTCTCTCTTATTTCACTTAGTGTAATACTTCAAGGTCGTCAAAAGTGGCAAGGTTTTCTTCTTTTTCTATGGCCTAATAATATTCCAGTGTTTATTGGAATAGTATATCTACCACTGGTGGACACTTAGGTTTTTTCCATATCTTAGCTATTGTAAATAATGCTGCCATGAACACGGGGGTACATATATCTTTTTGAGTTGGTGTTTTAAATTTCTTTGTATATATACCCAAAAGTGGAATTGCTGGACCATATGGAAATTATACTTTTAATTTTTTTGAGGAACCTCCCTACTGTTTTCCAAAGAGGCTGCACCAATTTACATTCCCACCAGCAGTACACAAAGGTTTCCTGTCCACATCCTCGTGAGCATTTATCTAGTCTATTTGATAACAGGTGTGAGGTGATACCTCATTGTGTTTTTTTATTTGAATTTCTGGTCACTATAGTTTACTCAGCTCTCTGACATATGCAAAAAAAAATAAAAATCTATGGTTGTTCCATTGAGAAAACATGCTTAGACAAGTATATCCAAGGTCATTCTCCAAGTAGGTAGTGGGGCTTAAATACGCCTATTTTGTCACCAAATTCCAGGTTCTTCCTATTTTTTTCCTTGCTCTTCCCTGAGTCTGTATAGTTCTTGATTGGCAAATTGAATATAAAGGCACATCCCTTGGTGAGCACATACCTGGTTGGTTACCACATCTATTTTCTTAAAGATCTTTGCTGCTTGTTTGGCAGCATTCATTCAACAATTTCTGAGCATAAACTCTGCTTAGAGAGCACGAAAGTATAAACCAGGTATAGCCCAGGGCTGGCTCTGTTCCCATGGATGCTTGGTTCCTTTCTGACAGTGACTGAATTTTGTCTTCTGCAGAAATGCCAGATAATGCAGCAGCTCTGCTGGGCACCTGCTGTGAGCTCCACATTATCTCTACGATATGTCACCTGGTAAGGAACCTTGTGGAGGGATCCAGGGAGGGGCAGGAATGGGGCAATGAGGAGATGGACACCCAACAGCTGATAAGACACTTCTAAGGCTTTCTCATCCACAAAAGCCCTTCCAAATAGGTTAAACAGGTATTATCAACTCCACTTTTTTATACCCACCTACCTCACAGGAAGACTGAGGACCAGAGAGAAAGGATTTGTTCAAAGAACTTGCTGGCAGGGCTAGGAATTGAACCTTGTCATTAGAATCCAGGCCTTATGCTTTTCTATTGTCTGGAAAGAACTGTGGCCGAGGCCTGGTGCAGCATTGCAGGGAAGGAGCTAGACCCGTTGTATTTAGCTCTGTACCACATTCACCTGGCCGGCAGTGCTCAAGGGCACTGCCCTGTCTCAGAGACAATTTATTCTCTTAGGATTTAGCACTAGTGTTGTGCCCTGAGGAAATGTCATGGCAGGAGCAAGAGCTAGGTAATGATGAGCTTGGCCCTGAGACTCAAGATTAAGCTTTTCCTTTTTAAATGACAAATTGGGTCACTAATAGAAGGAACCCTCAATGGGCTGCCCAGAAACCACTGTAATGGGGCAGCTCCTCTAAGGTAGCTTCAGCTTCTGCCAGTGTTCCTCAGCCTGGGGCAGTGTAGCAGAGCATGCCTGCCTGGATTACTTTAAGGTCTGGTGACTAAGGGCCAAGCCAGCATGCCCTGTAGGCCCAAAGCTCAGAGTTCTGCTCCCAGATCTGAGAAGCAGATATTGGAGTGGGCTGCCTGGCTAGGGCCCTGAAACGCTACACATCCACCCAGGGAAATCTGAGCACTGTGATTAGTGCCTTTGGTGCTTCTCTGCAAGGAAAGGCAGCTGAAGCCTGAGGCCAGGCATCATTCCAAGGAGCAGTTTAAATGTCACTCACAACCGAAAGCAGATTCTATCCGCCCAGGGGAATGTTGCATTCCTGTACTTTGACCACAAAAACTGAACTACTCGAAAATGTGCCGGCATGTGTGTCTTGTGGCTAGCTGAGGGGTAAAACCTGGCGGTGCAGTGTGGTTATGGAAACAGTATGTTTCATTATCTAATTGTCTGCAATGATGACCATGGCAGTAGCTCTGCTTTTGTAGCCCAGCTCTGTTTTGCAACAACTGAGTGCTTAGCATTCCCCAGGTTAGTCCTTACTAAGTATTTACAGAGTCATCAACTGCATTCAGGAAGTATATAGAAAGAGAAAATACTGCCAAGACCATATTAAGTGCCTCTCCCAACAAACTCTCACCAAGTTGTCATGGTCCTTGCAGAGCAGCTCTAGGGTCTGATCTTCGTGTGGCTCCCCATCTGCTCTGCTGGGGTCTGAAAAGCAGCCCCTTGGACGTGCCGGGGTCCAGAGAGGCTGCTATTCTATTTGGCACAGAACTTCCCACCCACAGAGTCCTTTGTTTGCCTTCAGGGGCTGCTTAACACAAAGAAATAATTTTTCTTTCAAGACCTTCCTAGGCATCTTCACATGATCTCCCAAGACAACTCCTAAGACAGCGAGGTTCCTGTCCCTTAAAGGGACCTGGGTGTCATGTGTTTCTTACAGGCATTTACTTAGAACAGGGAATAAAAATCTACCTGCTTTTCTGTCCTTGTCTGGTGGCCAGAGTAACCTTGACAGGCTTTCTCAAGGTCTTTTGGGAAAACAGTGTCAGACACACCAACACATCTGCTGAAGTGGTAAGAGAACTGGTAAGAAGGTGAGTTAGAATCATTGCAGAGAGTTAATTTCACTGCACCACCCTCCAGGTGACCGTAACCTCTTTTATACCTAGAAGTGCCTCTGGGCGCTTGGGGTTGGCAGATGTTCAGAGAAGGAAGCTGGATGCCGCTCAGCACTTCACCAGGCCCTGAGCCTGCTGCGCTCCTGGCAGCCTCCGGCCTGTGCCCTAGAGCTCATTCTTAAATCGTGGGACATGGTGCTTGTGCTTAAAAAGCAGGCCTGATCCACTCCCTTAAACCATAATCCATAGTTTACCGTCTGGGCCAAGTGGTAACATTAAGCCTGTGGTTGCAATGTCTGAGTTATATTTGGCGCATCTACAAGGTGTGGATCTGTAAAGCTGATTTTGATAACAGACACCCAAGTACTTTTTTATCCAAATGCGTGCTGCCCTTCAGCCAGTGTGGCTACTTCAGGTAAGGTTACCACCACTCAGAATACTTCTGGCATTCTTTAGATTCAGTTAAAATTCATGCATACTTTTTAGGCTTCATTTTTTATAAATTTTAACTTTTACTCCCTACGTTCCTAATCTGATCTGGTTCTGAATACCTGTTTAAAAATCAAATCTACCGGCACATTTGTAATTACTGAAGATTAAAAAAATAGTGTCACAGGCACCAACCAAGACCCCCGGAAGCAGAGTTTCATGTTTTCAGGGCTTGCAACTAGAGCAGCAACCTCTTTAAGGAACTAACATTCATTCAAACACTGAGGGCCTAGTGCTAGGCAGGGTGCATGGTGACCACCACAGGCCAGGTCCCTGCTCCCCTGAGTGGCTTAGGTTTTAGTAAACAGATAAGCAGCAACTGTCAAGAAGATAATGTCAGAGTGAGCAGATGAAGACAGTGTAATAATGTAATTAATAGTGGCTGGGCTATGGGAGTGGGAGCAGATGAGGCCCCTTCTCATGTGGCATTTCAACCGACAACTGAGACGAGAAGGAAAGGTCTCGGGGGAAGAGTATCCAGGCAGGAGGAAGAAAGGGCAAAGGTTCTTGAGGTAAGAAGCATGAAATAAACCACAGTTCCTACCCCTTTGAGGAGTTCCTGCAAGTGCAAATATTCGAAAATCTTCATTAAAAAAATCAAGCTTTACTTACATACTGTGTGCACGACAAAGTTAAATTCTGACCTTTCTGATCTACTGGCGTTAAGATCTGGTAGCAGGTAGAGTTCAGAGACTAGGGATTTAGACAGAGGACTCCAGGCAAACGGGAAACATCAGGGCCGAGGTCCTGGCCTGGGTCAAACACATGCTGTTACATCTAAGGGTTTTCCTGCTCCGTTTGGGAAATTAAAAAGAAAAATAATTTTTTTCATAATTAGCTAGAAGGGCGTTACTATCCAACAATGTGGATTTTCTGTAATATGTTTAAGTGTTTAACCTGCCATTTCAGCTCCGTGCACTGTCTGTTGATGGAGAATCTGATCTGGAAGACACAGCCCTGGCTCCCCTGAGAGATACGGAGAGGTTTGCGATTGTGCAGCGCCTGCTTGCCACGGCCGGCATTAACCTGGAACGACGACAGTCATCTGTCAGAGCTGTCACCTGCAGAGTCCCTAACGTTTTCCCACTCGTTCTTTATGTAAGTCTGCATGGACTCCGTGCTTTAGGCAGAGCGCAGCAATAAAGTCACAGGTGAATCCTGCACAAGTTATCAGCCCAGGCTGGGCACTTTTTTTTAATCCTTACCTGAGGATATTTTTTCCATTGCTTTTCAGAGATAGTGGAAAGGAGAGAGAGAGAAGGAAACAGAAACATCGATGTGATAGACACACATTGATGGGTTGCCTCCCGCATGCACCTGGACCAGGGCCAGGGATTGAGCCTGCAACCGAGGTATGTGCCCCTTGGCTGGAATCGAACCCATAATCCTTCAGCCCACAGGCCGATGCTCTAATCACTGAGCCAAACCGGCACTTTTGTGCATCGTTAAGGTACTGCTTTGGGGCTTAGGTCAGAGGCAAGTTGAAAGTTATCAAGGAAATGAATTTACAAGAGAGTTTAACAAGCGGTGACTTTCTGTACCATGAGTCGCCTCGAGGTTAGCCGCCAGGTACTCTGTAAACGGGTTCTTTTTCGAAGAGGTGACCCAGTGTATAAGTTCAACTCCACACTTGAAGAGTTCTAAGCCAGCACACATTCAGACCTTTTTTCCTGCAGAAAAATGGGTCCATTGCCTAGATTTCCCACTTTCTCCGTTATACACAAACAGATGGGTCTGGCACTTTGATCCAAAATCCATTTCAATTCTGAATGCTAGGAAGGCAATTTCTCTTCATTGAAGGCTACGTTTTGGACGTGCTGTGCACTCTGCAGTGACTGAAAAATGAACTGTGAATGCCACTGGGGTACATATAGTCTGCTAAATAAATTATACTAATTCCATGTCCAGAGCAATGTGACAATTTCCCATGCCTGCTGGATGTTTAATTTGTAAAATACATATATCAAAGGAAACTTTGAAAGGTATGTTTGCTTTTTCTTGTTTTCACATCCTTCTGCTATGAACAGCCTGGACTATCTCCCTGGTGCCTCTGGATCCATCGCTAATATCCACTGGGGACCTGAAGCCACTCTGTTTTCCCTTAGCAAATCGTAGCTAAGCCCTCCTGCGAGAACTGTCCAGCTCAGGGGCAGGGAGCAGAGGACAAGGGGCAGCTGTTGGAGAGAGACATGTTCCTCAGCACCTGCTTTTTGTCGTCATCTCACCATCATCTATCTACTTCTCCCCTTCCTGCTCTTAAGATTTTCATTAATGCTAATGAAGCGATAACCCTTCCATCACCTATTAAAAATGAGACTAAGCCTTATGCAAGTACTAAGGATACAGAATTGTCCACTGTGGTGGCAACGGCCTAAAAAATAAGCACCTTATGCGCAAATTGGAAAGGAACACGCCAAAGTGGAAATAGTGGTAAAGTGGTGGCACAATCCATGCCTTTTGTCTGGTTTTCTGAAATAAAATAAACATACAGAACAAACTGGAGACAGAATGTGTAATATGAGTCCAGTTGTATGAAAAACCAATACACATGTATTGCAACACGTGGGAACCTCACAAGTTCACTAGAAACCCAACAGGGCTCCTTTGGGACAGAGGATTGCGAGGTTGGGGCAAAAGGTGGGGAAGGGGGTGGTTCACCCCTCTATTCCTGTTAGAATTTTGTATGTATTATCCTCTAAATAAATAATAAAACCAAAACCAAAACACACACGAAAGACATGACTTCAGAGAGAAAGAGATGCCATCCCAGCAAGTGTCAAAAGCTTGGGTTATATCAAACAGGCAACTAAGGCATTTTAGCTGTTTGCACACTTGTCCTAACACTGGCCAGTTACCCTGCTGGATTGTGCTTTAAGACTTAGCTATTGAGAGGGATGTAGCCTTAGGCTGCGACAGGTGTTCCTGGCCCCCCAGTTTCTGCTGGGCTGCTTGGCAGACGTCTGCCGGGACCGGGTGGGCAAGGTGGTGCTGGGCATGCTTGAGGGAGGGTGACACTGGACCTCCAACTGGCATCCTCACCCTTAAATAGGGTTAGTCATTTAAAATATACCTTTATGGCCCTAGCCCGTTTGGTTCAGTGGTTAGAGCATCAGCCCGAGGACTGAAGAGTTCATTTCAATTCCGGTCAAGGGCACGTACCTTGGTTGCAGGCTGGATCCCCAGGGCTGGGTGTGGGAGACAACCAATCGACATGCATCTCTCACATCTCTCCCCCTCTCTCTCTCTCACTCCCTTCCACTCTCTCTGGAAAGCAATGGAAAAAATACCCTTGGATTAAAAATACATACCCAAAGCACTTCAAATATTAAACAATGAAACAGATGTGAGCTATACAAACATTATGGAAAATGAATAAAAACAAATAGGAGAATGACTTTCCAACTCAATACCAGTTCAGGGCCCCAGGTGGCCGAAGCCTTTCCAGCAGCTCAGGGTGCAAGGCAGGAACCCACCCTGGACAGGATGCCCCTCCATCGCAGGGCGGCTCACACCCACGCACAGGCTGGGGCAATGTAGACACACCAATGAACCCGACATGCTCACCTCTGGGACATGGAAGGCACCCGGAGTACCAGGGGAAACCCACGCAGACACAGGGAGAATGTACAGACTTCACGCAGACAGTGGCCCGGGCCAGCAATGGATGTTTTCCTCGCCAGCGTTAGAAAGACACCACACTGGACCAAACGACGTTATTTGAGAACTGCTCCGAGTAACACCAGATTCTTTTGGATACATCAGAAATACACTGGACTAGCAATTTCTTAAGCATGACGTATGGGAACCCCAGAAACCAACTTGGGAAAGAGACGCCAAGTACCTTTTGTGGAAACAGGCTTCCTGCGCTCACCCATGGACGCACCTCTGTCGCTTGGCCAGTGCGGTGGGTCTACCGCAGGCCTAGGGGCTGAGCCGTGCGCCACAGCAGACTGGACCTTCCCACAGGGTTTCTCTTCCTTGGGCAGCTGGGAAGTGGTCCCAGTATCATCTCAGGCCATCTAAGCACAGAGGCCTTTTCTTGATCCTACACTTTAATCTTCTCTGTCTCTGAACTTCTTTCCTTGAGTACGATGTCTCTGAAAGCTTGGGCTGGCATAGAGAAAACAATAGTTAGGGCTTCCTGGTTAAAGCGGGAGGCAGGTGAAAAATGTATTTACTTTGGTGGGAAAAACCACATGACATTAGAGGCTTTTTTTTTTTTTTTTTTTATAAAAACAATGAACATTTAAAAGAAGTTTCCAAAGCTAATCTCATGGCCTGTGTTTTATTGCCTATAAACCTCTGTTCTACTTGCACATGAAACACTACATTTCTCCAGTATTAAATATTTATTTCTTTTTACATACAAAAATATTGTACCAGGCATATGGAATCTCACAGATTTTACATTTCGGTAATTTTCGTTTTGGGCAGCGTAGGGAAATACATGAAAAGAAAAATTTTATAGGGACAGCTTCTGAAAAATCAATACTTAATCGTACTGCAGGAAAATTTTATTTATACAAGGACAGTAATGCTTTTATACAGGAATTCGCAATACAATTTCTTGGAGAGCAGTAGCAATTCATTTTTGTTTTTAAACTTTTTCATCAGAAACTTCAGCAGCTTGCTTGTTCAGCTTTGATTTTAGGTTGCCAACAAGATCTTTTCCATTAAGGAAAAAAAAAAAAAAAAGGTTCTACAACCACTTCACAGACTAGAGGTTAAGAAGAGCATGCATCTGTGTTCAAAATAAAGGCATACCAAAATGAAATGGGGGGAAAAAATCCCCCAAAGCAAGGTTTTCACAACAAACACTCCTCATGGGCTCTAATGGAGCTCCACATAACATGTAGGAAATGACGCTTGTTGCCAAACTCGCATGCTCACTCATCTACAGCAAAACTCGAGATACTAACTTCCTTAACAATCCACGCTACCGAAGAGGCAGGAGGAGCCTGTTCTTTTTTGAAGACAGCACTCAGCCAAAAGAAGTACCCGTCTTATATTTCGAGTACAGATGGAGATGAGCTATTCCTCCAGTCTGGTTCTGTCTGAGAAGACGAAGGCATTTCTCACTTGGACCACGTTTCCCAGAACACGCTCTGTGTTCTAAGCAATGTGACTCAACACTACTGCCCGTCTCTCCTATTCAAGGTTTAAGACGAAAACTACACGTTTTAACTGGTAATGACTTCCGGCCTAATGTCGGCAACTGAACAGCGGAGAAGTTCCTAATGCTACGAGTTCTTCCTATTCCTCCAAGCTCCCAGGTCACCTTGACTGATGTGAGGAAAGGCAAATTTCGGGTATGGTCTTTTGGATTTATGCTTCTACCCTGGCTTGCTGTTTCTGAAGTACAATAAGGACCTCAGTTCCCAACTTTTAAAGTGAGAACCTTTGGGCTTCTGCTCTATGGCAGCCTGCTCAGTGGGACTCAAGACAGGTTTACAAGCACTGAGTCATTTCATCTCCCAGTTATAAGCAGTATTTACGTTAACTGTGGATGTGTTCATTCAGTTTGTGCCGGAGATTAGAAAACAGTAAAAGCTAGTAGTAAAAAAATAAAAATAAAAAAGAATCATCGCTTCTGACAGACTTTGGTGTGTAAAAGCAAGTCAGTTATCATCACAGAGCTGCATCACCAGCTGGCCAATAGCCATGAAGCAATCAGAAAGGGGGTCACTAAAATGCCTTCCTGTCAGGTTAGAAGTCCCACTAATGACCTATGAGAAACAGACACCTTCCTTTTAAACATAATACTATCAGTTAAACCTTATGGGCTGGGGTGATAAGTTTCAGGCCCAAGAACAGGGTAGGGCAGCTTCAAGGGGCAAAGATCAGCGTGTCTTCTGATGTAAGAGGACTGATTCCTTACTTAAATTTGATTTGTGCCCAGCTGGCATGGCCCAGTGGTTGAGCATAGACCTATGAACCAGGAGGTCATGTCAATTCCCAGTCAGGGCACCTGCCGGGGATGGAGGCTTGATCCCCAGTGGGGGACGTGCAGAAGGCAGCCGGTCAGTGACTCTCATCATCGATGTTTCTCTCTTTCTCTCTCTCTCTCCCCCTCCCCTTTCCTCTCTCTGAAATAAATAAGACATATATTTTTTTTAAAATTGATTTGTGAGTGGTCTGGTTGGCAGCAAGGACTTACCAAGGGTCTGGACATGGAAAGGGATCTAAACTAAAATGGACCTCTTGCCCTGGGCCACTAAGAGAGCAGAACAGACCCTCTTCCCGGCTGGAACTATGTCCTCACAGCTGTGTGAGGACTGGAGACCAGACTCCTGAATGGTGCGCACCACCTACCGTTACCTCCGGAAGAGGTACTCTTTAAAGGAACTAAAAAATAAGTAACCTCAATGTAATTCAAAGACATATAATAAACAGAGAACATAGCCTAATAAAGAATTTCTACTTTAGCACTTACCACATCAGAACTACAAATTACTTCTTGTAATTTAAGCTGAAGACAAATATTAAGTTAGCCTTATTTAACAAGTGGAACATTAAAAGTAAAGGGATCTGTAAATTTTACCAGAGGTCACATGGCCGGGAGTCAGACCGAGGATCTCGGTCAGTAGAAGAACGCCATCTCCATTTTCATGAGGGGAGAGGCTGTTTGGAAGAAGGCAGTGCAGTGTACTGCACAAGTGGAAACTGCTCTCAAATTCTTACCTTGGAAATTCGATACCATCATTTCCTTCCCTTTGGGGTGGATTAAAGGCTCATTTTTGATTCTGTGCACTAAATCATTCCAGGAACACAAAGTCACATGGCAAATTATGGAAAATATTTTTTAAATTAATAAAACTTGAAGCTAACAAGAAATACATTTAAAAAATAATCTCACCTTAGAAAACTAGAGAGTTGCTATCTTCCTCAGGTATACAATGTATATTTACATAAAAACTGATACGGTGCTAAATTATTGGTCAATGCTATTAAGTTTGTGAATAATATTCACTTGTACTATATATAATAGTCGTATCATTTAAAATACTGAATTTGTCCCAAGAACTCAAAATACATCACAGATGTTATTACATGAACTGTGATCTCACAGCACATCCTTTGGAACAAGAGGAAGGCAGGTACCATGACCTCGAAGCCCGAACTGTGTCACAAATTCGTTAGAAGGTTTAAATAAGTATTTCCCAAGAGGTTTCCATCTAGGACTCTCCTTTTTCCTTAAGGAAATTAAGTTGTAATGTTAATTTTATGGGCTCAATACTTCATTTATTTTTCAAAAAGATCAGTACCTGACTCACGGTAAGACCAAAGCCTTTTCAAACAATGTGAAAAAAGTTCCAGAATGTATAAGAATTTGGAAGTAACTAAAAATTTAAGAACACTAGCTATAATTACATGGGTGAATATATTTAGTTTTATTATTCATGTATTTTGGGAGAACTTTACATATTATACACATAACTGTATATATTATATATATATATGGTGACTCAAACATTTAAAAAATGACCTGCTATCTATATACATAAAATTTCAGGATTGTTTTTTCCATATTTAGTATAAAGGTTAGTTACTACAAAATTATTGGCTGTCTAGCCTGTGATTTCTGGGAAATGGAGCGTTTTTTTCAAAAGTTGTAAAGCACAATGTTAAGCAGATCATTACCTTGACCAATTTTCAAACTTTTATGTTCAGTGTTTGCCAATTCAAAATAATAACCCCATGGCTATCTATCTTGAAAATCAACCCCCATCATGATCATGACACTTATTATACATAAAAATAAGTACCAATTTAATAAATTTTTAAAGTAAAGATCACCTTTTACCGTTATTGGGATATTATGGTCAAAGCAGCTAGTATCTATCTGGCCATAATCTGTAATGCCACGATTGTATTTTATTGCTAGTCTGCATTTTCTAAATTTGTATTAATAACCAATTTGTTCTTTTAAGGAAAACTCATCCTTATAAGCAATTATAAATAAATTTTACTAGATTCTAGAATCTAGGTTCCGGCCACTTTTGCTGTAGTCATACTAGGTTTATGATAATGGTTTTCAGTAAGCTGCATTCAGCAACTGTATAGAGTTAGCCAGAGTAAATCCAGCCCTGATGTACTGGATATCTGACACTACCCAAGCATCAAACAGAAATCGTGGTTGCACGATCAGGTCATGGCTGAAAGAAAGGTGAAATTCTACTTATAGCACATCACATACATTCCAGTAGTTAGAGTTAAATTACTTAACCAGAGTCATCAACTCTGGATATCTGTGCATTTGAAACTGAAAAAAATATATTTAGTTGTATATAAATAGTCGTGCCCCCACCTGCCCACAAGGAATCCTCCCTCAGGTGCATTAATGTCCTGACAGGCACATTGTGTTTCCCAAAAACATAAGCATAACTATCAGCAATTGTTCAAGATCACTTGAAACCACCTTTTCCTTGGGAAAGCTAATCATCTCAGGCCACTCTCACTGCTGCGCTGCTGGGACTCCTTGCCCTGCAGAGCTCTGCTGGTTCCTGCAGACTCAGATGGGACTTGAGTTTCAAGTTCAATGACTCTTTATTGAGATATGAACTTTTCTAAATGTATTCCCTTCAACTCTGGCTTCTGGGCTGAAATGAACTAAACTGCATCGTTTTATTTCATATCAGGAGGGAGCTAGTGTGTATTAACTGAGTAGTGATGAGTACCATTTATAATAGAAATAACTCCTTTACGTGTAAGACTATTTTCTAAATAATATGCATTTTATATAATATGATAAAGCCAAAAATACATATGATGTAAAAGTCGTCTCTATTTTGCCAACATGACTGAAATAATTTGTGGATAAACTGTGCTGCTACAAGGATCCCAAAGCTATTCACAGATGAAGGCACACAGGAGAATGTGGAAATGAAATTTTTCTTAAAATGTACAGTGTGTGGGAACACTAAGTCATAGGACCTCACCTCGACACTGCTTGGATTCACGCTGCTCTGAGAAGCCAACAATGTGATGTAAATACATGTGGTTTAAAAGTTATCAAAGTTATTAAAAGAATGTGATCTGTTTTTCCACCAATTTCCTATCCTAGGACAAAGAAGATGAGTTTGTGTTCTGGATATGAAATTCTGAAATTAAAAATACCTATGGATTTCCAATTTAACAATACAGCAACTTGAGAGTTTCACTTCACTGTGAAAAGATTTAAAACAAAGGGTGCGCACCACTCATCACCACGCATGTCCTCCCCCTTCCAGCCCTCCCATGGCCACCCCGTGGCCACCCCATGTGACAGCCCTGGTGATGGGAAACAAATTCAGCAGCCAGGTGCCTGGTGCCTACCACCAGACAAAGACAACCACCAACACTTAAGCACCCAACCCTTTAAGTGTGAGTACTTTTATGTGAGAAGTTAGCAGCAATATAAAGTACGGCTGACTTAGTGGGATGACGAGCTGCATCTCTGAATACGTTTCAGGAAGAATTTACGCCATCCGAGAATCCTAAAGGAAGGTATTAACTGAGGTCAATTTGGAAATCGGTATATATTAATGCATCTACAGGAGGACTAAACCATTAAACAAAGAAGTGCATTTCCTTACAGAAATGTAAAAAAAATTAAAATATTATTTAATAATATATTATATAATACATACAATGTACATATTATATAATGTATGTGTTATATATAGATACAACAGCTGACCATTATTTCCAAGTTTTAAAAATCATTCAGTGCATTGGGTTCTCAACACAAATCAAATACCTTAATGATCACATCATACTTCAAAAAGCACATTGATTGCTCACAGCCCCTCCGAAACGGCACACTGAGAGGCATTTTTAAGCATCACAGAAATATGCAGAGGCATGATACATTTGCTGACCACATCCTAGTAAAAACCTGTTTGAAGAAGTACGGTCATTTTTGTCAGTTAAATTTTTACCTGTGAAAATAAATCAACGGTGTCACTTTGCTGTAAGGTTTATTGAAGGCACTCTCTGAGCCTGCCCGGCCTCGCTTGCTGTGTACATGGTAACTTAGCATCAGCCTGTCTTTGCAACAAATGAGAGTGCAAGGTATTGCTCTTCATTTATATCAATGGAGGGGGAAATATACCGCTATATTGGTTTATCTATATAAATCAGTATGGATAGCCACACATCTCTGAAATAACAAAACTATGTAGCTTTGAGCAGACTTCTGATGTCAGACTTGGATGGTCGTAGACTTGCTGTAGCACTGATATTGAAGTTCTGCTTCTGTAAGAAATTATATTAGGAAAGAAGGCCAATAACTACCATTTTCTCCCAATCAGAGACCCATCACTAGTTAAATACTGAACTAAATGACAACTTTACAAAACTATTTCAAGTATTCATTATCACAGTGGAAATGTGAGACCAATGTTCAAATGAATGAGTTGAAAATTCCTGTGATGAAAAAGGCAAGGGTACTAAATCAAAACATATTACAAAATGCTTCAACGCATTTCTTTATGTGATATGAATAGATTGTCCATAAAAAGTTAGAAAAATTAAGATAAATTATATTTTAGTACACCTTCCCGCCCACATTGTCTATAAAAATTCAGAATAGTGTACTGGTATTTCAATCTACACAGTAAAAATGCCTGGACTTGGCAGATGCCTTCTACCTGCACACACGTTTTCTCAGTAGAAGGCATATTTGCTGTAGTCACTTTCTAAAAGTTGTACTTTAATTGTGAACCTTATTGAATCATCAGTAGACCCAGCTGATGGGGACCCACTGCGGCTCCATTCTCAGTTTCTCTATGGCAGTTTGCAGTTTCTCAAAGGCTTTGTCCAGATTGTCGTTTACAATGATCAAATCGAAATAGTGGTTGTAAGCTCTCTGAATTCGGGCACTTTCATCCACTGTTTTCTTCAAGTCAGAGTCCTGTTGAAGAGTTTTAAAAGGAAATGTTTTTATTATAATGTATACTTACTTGCTCAAATACCAACTCAAAGTGAACATAAGAAATAAGTAGGTTGGACAATTATTAAATTGTGATTCTGATATTAATTCTCAAAATCTCATCTATATAGAGTGTTAAAAAAGACATTACCACCTGCTCCTGTACTCGCCTTTCCAGCTGCGTTCATGTTTGTATCCTGTATCTTCTGTGTCACTGATATTAGGATAAGATTCCTAATTAAAAAGCTGCTGACAATAATTTTAGGGTGAAATCTAAGGTAATAGATTTTTATCTTGTGGGCTCTAAATCATGGAACCCAATTTCTAGTGGCTGTCAAGCTCAAAGCCAAATTTGCTGCCTATATCTAAGAAAGAGAACCTTACAAGTGTATTTTGAAGGCTAACTTTACCTTATTTATTTTTGCTAGCATTATTTATGTTTCATAAGATATTTCTAGTTATTTTGGAATGATGTGGGGGAATAAATAAGTAATGGGTTCTGCATGAACAAGTAAAGCTTTTCATTAAGCTACAAGTGTTTTGAAATTTCACAATAATTCTACATGTTCTTCAAATATTTATAGAGTTTCTATGAAAGTGTCTACTGTGACTTATTATTTATGGATATAACAATGAATAAGACAGAGGGGTTCCTACCCTATAGTGGAGGAGACAGATAAAGGGCAAATAAATACAAAAACTTGCAAGTTGCAGTAAGTACCATAAACGAAAACAACCAAGAACAAAGCATTTTAAGAGATCTACTTCAGAGAGTGATTACAAAGATACTGAGTAAATGACTTTTAAAATGAGAACCAAAGTGGGAGAAAGTGCACTCCAGGTGGAGGAAACAGCAATGTAGGACCCAGGAGGGAAACAACCTGATGTGTTGAAGACACTGAGAGAAGACCAGATGGTTTGGGGGAGGGGTGTTAATAAGTTGAGATGAACATGGAATAGTTCATGAAGGACCTAGATGCAATGGAAACATCTCTGGATTACGATGGTGGCAAAGGATATGGAAATGACCCAGATAGGAAATATATGTATTTTGGTGGTAAAATCATTAGGATTGGCTGATGGGCTGGATGTGAAAAGTGAGGAAAATGAATGAATCAAGGATGCTCTTGGGTTTCTAGCCTGAGTAAATGGGTGGGTTTAGAAGATGCAAAGCTGGGAAGCGGGGATGGAGAGAACATGATTTTTTTGGGGGGGAAGCAAATGTTCTGCTTTGTACATGTTAAGTGTAAGACGTCTCTGAGTCATCCAAGCAGGATGTAAAGCAAGCAGGTGAATTGGTTATGCAAGTCGGAGCTCTGAGGTCAGAGTTACCTGTATATAAATTAGGAGTCATCAGCATAACAAAGGTATGTAAGTTAATAGCAAGGAAAGGAAAGAGAAGTGGGTTCCCAAGTAGGCCACTAGTACTTTTTAGTTAATACTTTCACTGAGATTTCTAAGTAAGCTTGAAAAATCTAAAATACCTTTTATTATAGATCTGTTATCAGCCAACAGTTCAATTTGAAAACTATTCTTACCTATTATAGTCATTAGCAACCTGGCTTGTTAAAAAAAAAAATCCGTTTTATGGACAATAATAATCTTGTAACAATAATGGAGTATACCATACAGATGGAGAAAAAGTTGAATCTCTCTCTATGGGCTAAAGAGTGATCCTCAGAATATGTGAGTGAAAATACAGGCAAACTAATCAGCTACCCTTTATGTAAGAAATGGGGGAGGGAGGGTACACATACACACTTGCTTATACTAAAAAATATTGAAAATGGCTACCCATGTGGGTGGGAGGGAACAGAATGGAGGAAAACGAGATTTTTTTGTTTTTAAGATTTACTTCAGAACTATGAAAATGTATAAATTTATGTAACAAAATTAAATTCAAATGAAATGAAGAGCAATACCTAAAAATAAAATGCAAAATGAAACAAGCCTCTGTTTCAAGTTGATGGCTTAACCACAAAGGAACTATTTCAGCAACTTTAAAATAATACTCAGTGGGATATATCCTGAGAACAATTTAGAAAAATGTCTGAAACTCAGCGACTTGAAAATAATACCGATTGGGATATAGCCTAAGAACAATTTAGAAAAAAGTCTAAAACTTGAAACTTTTCAATAATCATATTGTTAATATTAATACTGATATTGTTACCCAGAAGTCATATAAAGTGTGTGTGTGTATACACACACAGTAATTATGTTAATGTCATCAGGAAACCAACATTTTCAGCATAAGAGGAAAAAAGACACATAAAGTCAAAGAAGTAAAAATAATAAAAACTTTGTATTTCAACTATCACATTAAACCAATCCTGCATGTTTTCTAAAAGGGGAAAATGTATTTCCCACTTCTGGCCACATAAAAGGCCAAGAAACAGTGATCAAGCTGCACGCACTCCGTTAGCACCTATGTTCTTGCTAAATGCCATTTCCCACTAAAAGGAACTAGGGCTTTCAAATGGCTGTTCAGGTGTGGGCCAAGAAATGTGTAAAGATAACCTGGAATAGCTTTTCGCACCAGGAAGCAGAGAATTCTCAAAGATTATTGGGGTTGTGTTAAAAAGACTCAAAAGTCAAGTTGGATAGGCTTCTACTAGCTAAAGACCATACCATTTAAACATCAAAAAGGGTAATAATGGGGCCAAGTACACAGAAAGGAAGTATTCGAATTACCTTGAAACACAGCGATTAAACTGTGTGTACTTAGTGGTGTAAACCACGAGGATAAGGAACTAGGAAGAAAGCCCAACTCACAGCACTCAAACCCGGTAACTGCTGGTCTACTTATCAGCAGACCACTGGGTGTACACTGTGGGGCACAGCAAATGAGCAACTATGTAATGTTCTCACATTCCCAGTGTGTCTGAGACCTGGGACACTCAGCATAGGAGAATGGAGTTAAAACATGTAACAGAGGTTAAACAAAAACCCTGTAATCCTGAATTTGATTGGGAAATATCACTATGAATTCACAATGTAGTTTCCTTCAAACATACACAAAGAAAAGCTCATTTCCTAACTCTGTCTATCCAAAAGGCGCAGCTAGAAACAACGATCAGTCTTGTGACGACGTAAACCTGGGTGTTATGGTCTTCAAATACCATTTACCCCTAAAACAAACCAGAGCTTCTTGGAGGAATAGTGATTGCTGGCTTGGAATGAATGGGAAATGTTCAAGGTGAGCCTGGAACATTTGTCATACCAGAGAGCAAAGAAGCTATGTGAGACTATTGGCCTCACAAAATAAGGTCTCAAGGGCCTACTTGAATAGTGACACAGTGGGGGACAGAACTCAGACTACGGAACACTCTACAGGATAAATGACAAATTTCTGAACAGCTAAACTAGAAAGTTAAAAGAGGGGAGGAGGGAGGCAGTAAGAATCTAAGATTAAAAGAGACTAAAGGGACGTCTGCTGCCAGCTAAGATGCACTAACAGGAATCAGACTAACTCTCCCCCTTGGCAACTAAAAGAGACAAAATGTGTGGAATAACAGTGTTTAAGACATCGTACATCAGGCAGTGGAAGACAGAGATCCCAGAGAGACAGGAAACAAAGGAAGTGAGCCCTACGGTCACCCCAATCACAGACTTGAAAGAGTTTCCGGGCTGCACCACAGCGAGGCATTGCCCAGAAGGAGCCTATCGGACTAAGTCGGGACAGAGCTGCGAGTCCAGGGAGACCGAGAGTTCGCAGGACAGACTACCAGAATGAAACGGAATCACAGAGCAGAGAGATCTTCGAAGACCTGCAAAAGGTCCCCTTCCAGCAAGTGGCCGAGCACCAACTGTGTGTGTCTACCATTACCCGAGGCCACCAAAGAACCACCAGAATGAATGAGACGTACTCATCCTGAGCCAGGAACAGGACCTAGTCCCACCAGGCAGAACAGAAAACCTCAGGACGCACAGGCCATGCGGGAGAGTACTCAATGGGCTTGCCTCAGTAGTGGAAAATAAATGCCCCTAGAGTGAGAACTGCTCTGGCCTTCCCTAACAAACTTCAAAAGCAAGACCTGAAAGGAACAAACTTAGTTCCAGAAACTGCATCAGAACAAAGCTCAAAATGCCTGGCATCCAATAAAAAAGTAACAGGATTACACAGAAGCAGGAAAACAGGACCCATCCTGAGGAGCAGAGTCAGTCAATCAAAACTGACACAAATGTTGGAGTTGGTAGACAACACCATGAAAATGCTTATTGTAACTATATTGCAGCTATTCAGAACGTTAAGCATAGAGGGAGCAACCTGAAAGAAAGCAAAGTGGACTAAAACTACCTCATTCAAGGCTTAGTGGCCACAGTGTAGGAAGAGTGGAAGCAGCAGGAGGGAGGGGCTGTGAAGGGGCCGAGGAAGCATCTGGAGGTGATGAACATGTCCCCTGCCCTGACGGCGATGGCTTCACAGGTCTATACATATGCCCCCGTTTTAAGTTGTACTTTCAATGTGTACAGTTTATTGTAGGTCAATTACACCTCAGTTACGCTGTGGGTGGGGGAGATTTAGAAGACGTTAGGTAAATGCAATGTGTCGACCTTATTCGGATCCTGATTTAAACAAAGCAGCTGTAAAAAAAAAATTTATAAATCTTGGGGAGCCCTGCCGGGCATGGCGCAGCGGTTGAGCGTCGACCTGGGATCCAGGCGATTGGGGTTCGATTCCTGGTCAGGGCACATGCCCGGTTGTGGGCTTGATCAATGACTCTCTCATCATTGATGTTTCTGTCTCTCTCTCTCCCTCTCCTCTCTCTGAGATCAATAAAGATATATTTGAAAAAAAAAAAAAAAATCTTGGGGAAATTCAAATAGAGACGGTATAGTGATGATATTAAGAAGCTGCTCTTAAATTTTTTACATGTTAATGGTGTTAGTGTTATGTTTGAAAAGCCTTTATCTTTTAGAGATAAATACTAAATATTTATAGCTGATATATCAAAAATTTGCTTCAAAGTAATTCAAAGTAAGCAAGGAAGTGAGGAGAGTAACTGCAGCCAGGTGACGGGCACATGGAAGTTCATTTTCCCCTCTGTTGTGTATATTTTAAAATTTCCATAATATGAAAAAAGAAGAGAGAGGACAAGAGAAAACATGTAACAGAAACAAAAATGGCTTTGGGGCCCTGTTTCCTCCTTAGTAAAATGAGGGGGTTGGATTAATATGCATATGTTAATACCAGCCCACTTCATTTGCATAGAGGGAGTAAACATTTGTTTTAAAGTGAACAATCATTTTTAAGTAAAAGCAACACTGTTCCAAATCCTAACTATATCTAGTGAATAAATTTTTATTCTATAACACATTACATATTTATTCCATAAATGATTATATAGAATTAAACATGCTCAAAAAATGGGGGGAAAAGATAAATTGTAGGAGGAAGTAACATTGTTAACTTAGAAAGAACTGCTCACCGTCAAAAGCTTGGTGGCGATGCCAGCGTCCACCACAGCTTTGTGCATGGCGCGCAGCGTCTCTAGCTCTGGAGCAGCGATGAATACAACGTAGGGCATGAACTCAGACGTCCTCAGGACCTTCAGGGCCTGTGCAGAAGCACAATTACACACCAACTTATAAGGATTAGAATCTGTACTGTTACCCTTTAATTTTTACTAAGTAATTAAAGTCTATCTGCCCGCTTCCTAAGGGTTAAGAATATAATTTAACACTTGCCCCACTTCTATCCTGTTGATTCCATACAGTACTTTCCTCACACAGTGATCCATTAATTGTGTTCTGACCTGTCTCATACTCTGAGTCATCAAGAATGATGTGAATGTTTTCCATGTTAATTGTAGAATTCTGTTAATATTGAAAAAGCTAGAAATAATTTCAGTGTCTATTAACTGGAGTGTGGTTATATAAATTAATATACATCTATATTATGAAATACTATGTAGTAATTACAAAGAATAGCACTATAGTAACTGACAGGAAAAGGTCTTCGAGAAATACTGTTTAATGAAAAAAAGCTAAAGAATTCTTATAGAATTTTTCCATTTATGTAAAAAGAATCAACAAAAATAGAAAATCCATTGCAGTATAGATATGTATATGTGTATACATTATATATATGTTATATACATATATTTTTTTTTTACTTAAGGCACACTGGAAAGACAGAAAGATACACACCAAACTCAGTAATATTTATGTCTGAGTAGGGGAGTGAGGTTGGGCTGAATGCAGAGGGGTGCGAAGGGGTTGGTGAGAGAGACATGGAATGTAATGAGAATGAAATGAGTGTGTGAGTGTGTGTGTGTGTTGGGTGGGAAGGGGTGTGACTTCAAATTTTTAATCTTTTTATTTTTAATTTAAAAAATTCTTTCAGTTATAGTTGACATTCAATATTATTTAGTATTAATTTCAGGTGTACAGCATAGTGGTTAGACAATCATATACTTTACAAAGTGTTCCCCCTGATATTTCCAGTACCCAAGTGGCACCAAACAGTTACTGCAATATTATTGACTATATTTCCTATGCTGTACTTTACATCCCCATGTCTAGTTTGCAGCCTAGTTTAAATTTAACATTTCCTAATGTATGCATTTACATATTACTTGAGCAAGTAAATAAATATTAAATGTCTATCATGTTTCTAGTGCTTGGCTAATTGGTCAGAGGTTTATTTAACCAGTGGGTGCATAATAAGGTTCCCTATCACCAACAGGTAATGGAGGGAAAGAGCTACATTCACAATCTCAAATCAAAACAAAAACTCCACAGGAAATGAAATTTTAAAAATGGCTTTGGAATCCATGCAGCTTACTTGTGGGTTGACATCCAAAATGCAAGTTCGCCCAGTTTGGACAACTTCAAGAATAGAGTCAATCTTGGTTCCATAGAGATTTCCTTCATATTCCCCATGTTCCAAATACTTTCCAGCTTTAATATCTGCTTCCATCTCAGACCGTGACACGAACTTATACGCCTGGCCATCTTTTTCATCTTCCCTTGGTTTCCGCGAGGTAACTAAATAAAACAATGTTGAGAATTTACACAAAGAGAAGGCGGGGTATTAGAAAATAGACTAAAATGAACAGGGCAGCTTAAGATTTTTCCGTTTAGTATCTATGGACAAATCTGGCCTACTTCCCATTTTTGTAAATAAAGTTTTATTGGGCCACAGCTACGCTCATTCTTTTTACCACCTGTGGTTTCACTTGTATCCTGGTGGAGTATGGAAACAAAGACTAGAGATCTGCAGAGCCTAGAACATTTACCATGTGGCCCTTGAGCAAAACAGTCTGCTGATCCGATTTATAAGAATGTTTTAAAAGGCAGTACCCAACATACAATTTGTATCCAAAAAATGTGCTTGATAAAGTAAGTTTGAAACTCAAAGTATAATTACCTGGAAGCAGAGTCCTGCATTTACATTTTTCATTATAGTGGATCCTAGTAAGTGTGAGGTATGGTGCAAGTGGGTATCTTTTCAACTGACCAGCACTTCCCTTCTCCTTAAGGAATATTAATTATATCATGTCTTTGCACTTTAACATTTCCTAATTGAGTGCCCAGCAACTGAGCAAAGTTCTCCTATTCTTAGTTGGTATTATCAATTTTCTGAAGTTTTACCCATGAATGATGTTACATTTTGAGCTTTAGTGGTGGAACTAGCCACCTCAAAGTTATTAAGGTCTATAACTTTCTCTATTCTGATCCAACACGTGTATTCTTGCTGAGAGAATGTGAGAACAAATAGACCAAGTCAAAATTTAGGGGATTCTTTGTCTGGTATTTTAGAGCTCTAAATACTTGCAGAGACATACAACTCCTCTGCAACGTGGGCCATGCTAGGCATGGACTATTATCACCTTTCAAACTGTTGCAAAGGTGCAGAGTCAGATGCTCTCTACCAATGTGTTGATACTAGCTTGGGGGGGGGG